TGCCAGCTTGAAGGTGTTTTCCAGCAGTGGCCACTCCTTCCTCCGAGGTAGGCAGAAGCTACAGCGACAGGTTCTTGCGTAGAGCACCACGGCCTCTGCATTAGCACACACGCTTCTGCTTCTTCCGTGTAAGATTCTTGATTCATTTCGTTCTGTCAATGTATACATGTATGCTGTTTCCACCTCCTCTGTGTGTCTAGCTGAAAGGAACAGTAATTTAAGTATGCCTTGCATTACAAGAACATTTGCTGAATAATGTTCACATCACTACTCTTAATATCTTGATGTTGATTTTTCCATTGTATACTCTTACTCTGTAGTTAGAAAGGGAAGCATTCACACAAGAGTGACTGGATAGCTAGTGGGATTGAGAAAGCCCTTCTAGTTTAAATATGTGGAGATTGGTGGAAAAAAACCCTCCAAGTGAGTTAGTTTAACTACAGAACAACTGGTCATATCTTCCACTTGCATTCTGTTATTGGTGTATTTTTTAATACACAAGGAATTTTTTTATCTAAAAGAGTATGCTGGGTAGATGTTAATCAGATGCAGTATGAGAAGCCTCTATTAGACGCATTTTCTGTGTAATAAAACCAATAAAAACCCCACTTAAAGACACCAACACCATTATCATGAACAATGAGACAATTTGTCCTGTAGTATTTTAAGTGCGTAGTTGTAACTTCAGAATAATTTTCTCCAACAAACATGCATATCTGGGGCTGTTTGGGATTACTTTATTTACCATCCTGTAAGATCAATTCTAAATGTATGAGCTGAAGGCTGAATAATTTATTTTCTAGCCCATTAGAACAATTTGGAGGATCTAATTCCATAGGCAGCTTTTCTGCCAAGAGAGTGAGTGCAGACGTGTCTGTGTATCTCTTGGGGAAGGAGAAACAGACCGAATCTATGCTTTTAGAATAAGCCATCGGCTTCACTGCTTGATTCTGCTGTATAAGTGCCTATGAGCAATTCGCCTTGAGCAGAATAAACCTTTCCTTCCACAGCCAATTGCAAAGTTCAGGGCTTGCAGAGAACCCGCTACTCGTGTCTTTGTGCTCAAGGTTTTGCAACTTGGGCACAGATGTACTGAACAGCCTATTTGAGATTTACGCTGAGGCCTGACCTGAAACAGACACTTAACTCAGATCTCCTAAGTCTTAGGCCTATGACATTGTCCCTTCTGGTGTCCCACTGTTTTGGCCTTAGAATAAAAGATTTTACAAAAAATCACAACGTTTATTGAAAAAAATAAATGTTAGAGGAAGCTGCGTTCTGTTTCAGATTCAGCTATGAGCTGCCTTGCTTGCAAGAGAGTGGATTATCATGAACAATTAGACAAATAATGTGTTAAACATTTCACAGGGGGATTAAAAAAAATGCTGTCATCAGTAGCCTGACATCTTTGAGGGGGATTTGTTTGGTTTTGTTTTTTTTTTTCTTAAAAGTCAACCCTGCACTCAGCACATGGAGTCAATACAGACTCATATCTGGCTGTCAATAGATCAGATTCAAGCCGTAGACTTATCGCTAATCTTTTCATTTTAATGTTTTCTCTTTTAGCCATGACAGCTTCACTGTTTGCATGGAAGCTCCCAAATTGTCAAGAGTAGCCCTGTTAATGGTTTTGGTTTTGTTTAATTTCACGTCTTGGCAAGCCCTGGAAGCTGTCAAGACTTACTATCTCATCACTCTGCTTCTGACTGTTTGGCACAAACAAGGACTGGGGGTTGGTGGTGGGGTAGGGAGAGAAAAAGTGAAGGAAAGGGAACATCATAAATAACTAAGTAAAATTATGTGTAACTTAACAGCTCCTTAGATACCAAGACAAAGGAATCAAAGCAGACAGGCAGCATAGAACCAACTACAACAGTTTTTTCTTCACTCTGTTCCAGATTAAGTAAACGTGTTCCCTCTGATCCCTGGATCTTAGACTGGGAATTACACTGCTGTTGAGTTCAGAATGGGGGATGGGGAGAAGCGAGCTTTTCTGGGGACAGGAAATATTCTGCTGTCATTGGAAAGGCTCCTGTGACTGCCCTGGTGGGTCTTGGTTCCCTTAAGCATTTCCTTATCGAGTGCTTGAGTGTTATTATGGTTATTGGATGGAGACTTACAGGCGTACTTCGCTCCTTGGCAGAAAAGGGGCTTTAAAGAGCAGTTTAGACTAGAGTTAAGGGCAGCCCCTGTTTCCCAGGGCCTGATGTGGCAGCTTAGTGACTTTATTCAAGGACCGTGAGGGGATGTAACTAAAGTGGAGGAGCCCTCAGTAGTGTGTACTGACATTTCCTAAGCAGTACTTAATGAAATCGAGTTTGACCCAGGTGGTTTAATGCTCAAAGGGTCCCTGTGTGCATTTCAGGGTTTGGTTAATCAACCTAAGGAAGAGCTGTGCCTTATCTCTTCAAAAATAGGAAGATAAGGAGCCGCTGGAGAGCCTGATGTATATTAGAGAATCTCTGAATCAAGGGCAATGTAGTGAGATGCTTCTGCTGACCAACTGACCTGAAATATTCAGTCCTGATCTAAATGGGTACAGCCACAGTTGCGGCATTTTGCATGAACCATCTCCTGGTTTTGTGATATCTTGTGGCACTGGTGAATTCCCAGTTTCCTCAGACAAGAATGACTTTGAAGGGAGAAGATGCTGGAATCTAATGTCCCAAGGGCAACAATTTCTCAGGCATTATGTGTTGTACATCATGAAGAATTTAATGGGTGATGGAGGAGCAGGCAAGCAGGTCTTGCTTTTACCGAACACGGCAGCATCCTTGGCGAGACCCACTTCCCATAATACAAATTATAGTTGTAGGTGTCACAGTCACTCAAGGCAGTGTAGCAACACGGGAAGTGTGAAAGGTGGTGAAATGAGCCGCCTCTTCTTGGTGCTGTTGAATTGCTTCAGAACAAAGAACTGAAGATAGTAGCTGAATGTATTGCAAGGTGATGCCCCTGCTGCTGACGGGCCGTTTGTGTGGCCTCGCTGTGCCTGTGACTGAGGCTGATTTTGAGGCAGAGGCTCAGTCCTCCAGGCTGTGGAGGCAGAAGCTCAGTTGGGCTTACCATCCCGTTCCCCAACCAGTTTATTGCTGCTCCTGACTGTGTTTCAGTGCTCTGATCAGTCTGGTTTTAACTTGGGTGTCTGCCACCTCTCCTTCAATGCCGTTCTGTAGTCCAGTAGAACTTCAGAGTTTTATTCCCATTTTAGGGAACTTATTCCTAATTTTTCTTTCCAATTTTTGCCTTGTGTCATGTTGATAGCTTTTGTTTATATCCCCTCAGTTACTCTAAATTATTTGCTATGTGTTACCTTCTTAAAGTAGTCTTCCCCCTCCTCTCCCCTGGTTATTCTTCAATCATTTTAGATGATGTTAAAGGTCATGGTCTGTAAGTGGGCAGAGAGGGGAGGTATTTCCAGGGCTTGGACTGTCCTTCCGTCGTGCTTGTAGAGGGTACTGTGTGAAAGGGTTAATATGGTGATATGGGATGCCTGTGTATGAAAAAGCTGCTGGATGAGATGATTTGAGTCCCTGTGTCCTGGAGTCTGCCTCCTCTCAGCGGAGACACGCAGGGTGGTGCAGCTGAGGTACATTACTATGGGGGATAGTTTGGCTCCTTAGTTCTGAACAAAGTTGACTGGTTTGCAACTGGGTTGAGGAGTCCTGCCTTGAGACACAGCCGCCTTTATTGTCCCTTATTGAGGGGGAATTCAGTGTCACACAGGGGCAGCCTTAGCAATTAGTATAAGAAATTGCTTTGGCTTTTGTGTTTCTGCTCAGTGTTTCATTTCTGAGGCTTAGCTCTGCCCCAGGATTAGCTCTGTCTTTTTCCTTCCCTGGCTCATGAGCTGCCTTATGTTCATCTACTTTATGCAGACATTTAATTGATATGCCTCTATGTCTGGCTTACTACTCTATGAACAAAATTTCTTTCCTAGCCTTTAATTGATTTGGATAATAAAGTACAATTATAAAACTCAATAAAAATTGGTTATTTTAAAGGGAGAGCTGGAAAGAAAGAAACCTAAGTGATGCTCTGCTGTGTGACTGTATAATAATGCAAAAGCCCCTTTGGATTAATTCTATTTAATTGCTCAGCTTTACTCAGGCTGTTACAATTCTGTGGGCTTTCTCGCAATTATAAGCAGCACACCTATAAATGTTTGTGTTTTTTAAAAGTTCCTTATGTATATACTAATTGTAAATTTTATGTTTTTGTGGTGGCTGCTGCCTGCACTGGCATCTTCTCTTCTCCTTGCTCACATGCCTGGGGAGCCTGTCCTGCTGCTCCCCTCGCAAACTTCCTAACCAGCCAAGTCCTCTTCTGAGAACTGAATTACCAAACTGGTGACCACATTAGGAGTGAACATCTGTTTGGGTTTTTTTAATGTCATGGGAGGATTCTCCCTCCTCCCTCCTTCTCTGGCCCCTTTACACTCTAAATGCTGTCTTTCTTCCAAGGGGGGCTAGATCCTGGACAGGAACTAAAGATGAAGAGGTGTGAGGTGTCCTACCGGGGATGCTCTGGCAAGATTTGTTTATGGCATGTGCCAGGGGTGGAAGGTGGTGTAATGGGATGGGAAAAAACAGGGGATCGAAAGTGGTTCATCCATTTTGGGCAGCTCTCTGAGGTACGTTTTTTTCAGTCCCTTTGAGATCTGAATGTTTGGGAATTGCTTCTTTACTCAGTGACTGCTTTTTCACTAAAGAGACCCAAAACTTGAGGTTGTGTCCAGACACAAGGTTTAGGAAATCTGCATCTTTTCTCGAGTGTTACATCTTACTGATGAGTTCCCTCTCGATACATTTTTTTTTCTTACTCCTTTGTCTGTTTTCCCTACTGAAAGTGGCATAGAGGGAGATTTCTTAGGAGGTGTGACTGGTGGGTTTACCCCAGCAGAGCAGTTCTACCACTGCCATATTGATCTGGATTGATATCTGGTGTTGCTTGGATATGATAACTGAGTTTCTGTGTTTTTCTTTATTTTCCCAGTTGGGAGGCTGTGGAATCCTTGGAGTAGGCATCTGGCTGGCTGTTACCCAAGGGAACTTTGCCACCCTCTCCTCTTCTTTCCCATCCCTGTCAGCTGCCAACCTACTGATCGTCACAGGGACGTTTGTCATGATCATTGGCTTCGTGGGCTGCATAGGCGCCATCAAAGAAAACAAGTGCCTCCTGCTGAGTGTGAGTATTAAGCTGCTATGCTGTTGCAGTGTTTGCTTTCGTAAGGGGCTGGTGCTGTTCCAATGCATGTTACAGTGTCCTGTATTTCAACAGAAGTTGCCCGCTTGACATGGATGAGCTGTCTTTTACAGCTCTAGGGAGCTGCCAGATGATTCCTGACCATGTTTTTAGCCTGTCATTGGAGGGTGGGACCTGCAAGAAGGGACTGGTTAGTGGTGGTGTGGGTTTTCTTGAGCTCTTCCGAGAAAAGGGAGAGATTTGTGAAGACATCTTTTGTAGGGTAGCCTTGAATTATTTTTTACTCAGCTTTGGGAGCTATCTACTCCAGCTGTCCACCCTGGTGAGACTGATGATCTGAAGTCTTGGGCATAAAGGTAAACGTGGTCAGGAAACATTGTAGAGGTTGATTTTGCTTTAAATTGGAAATTAAATCCTTCAGATTTGACAATGCCAGTTTTGCCAATCATTAACTCTCAAAAGGCTGAGATGTCAGGAAGCAAATGTGCCAGCACAAGGAGACTGCTGTGAAATCAAAGATTAATGAGGTGCCAGCTGTCTGTGATTGAACAGAGGCTTGAGCCACATCCCTGATGTATTTTATCAAAACATCATTTGATGCCACTCAAAGCTGGACTTTACGAGCAGTGAGTGCTTGCTGTAGTTGCTGTTAGTGTATATTCTGGGTCCCGTTCAGCTGAAGATGGGCAAGTGATCTTGCTGCTCAAGTCCAAGACTTCATCGTGAGGTTCCGCAAACCTCAGAGTGAAGTGAAGCTGGGGTTTAGTTTGGTGAACTGGTGATTTCTTTATAAAAGGCTGTTCCTCACTGTGCTTCGCATATTCATTTTGCTCCCCTGGGAAGTGCAGAATGAGTCAAGGCACACAGCCCCCAAGAAAAATTCACCCTTTAAAAATCTTTAAGGGACTGTAAGATTCCAAGTCTCAATAGAGGACTCTTTCCAGACCCCTCCCTTAACCACTTGTTTCTGTTGATTTTTAACCAGTAAAAGTCAGGACTAGTCAGTTTAAGCTAGCAATGGCTGTTTATGTGGCAGGTGGGTGGTTTGAAGCAGAAATGAACAACAGCAATTGAAATTAAGGCATTTTTTTGAGTGGCAATTTACACTTGGAAGGTAGAAGTCAGAATCTGAGGCTGAAAGTCCTTGACAATTTTAACAGTCTTACAAATACCCCCTTTGTGGAGGAAGTATCTGGCCAGCCAGATGTGGTTACTGTATTATAGCTTCAGTGCCAATGCAGCAAGAGTCCACAGGGTGTTGAGTCTAATGGTATAGCTTATATGTGCAAAATTAATCACCTATTTTGTGCTTTTTTGATTAAAGTCCTTGCTCAGGTGTGAACAGCAATGAGCAATGTTGTCTAATGTGTCAGGATCTGGCAGTCAGTCCTCAGTACTGGGAGAGTTTCAGCCTTTTATCTTGTACGGTTTGTTGGCCCTCGTCGCTCCTTTTGGCAAGGGCAGAGTCTCCCTTGATCAGCTGTCATTGGTGCAGCTGGGGTGAATGTACTCGCCCAACCCCAGGTGGACATCCTTTTAGGGAGATGCAAATGTTTGCAGGTACTGCTCCTCCCAACACATACTGCACAGTACTCAGAATCTAATGCCCTTCAGTGCACGGTGGAAGGACTAATCTAATGCCCTTCGGTGCATGATGTAAGGACTGTACTTGATGGATCAAGTTAAGTACTGCAAAGAAATCCAAATTCATTTAGGAGCTCTTTCCATGGGAGAATTAGGAAGCTTGATCTGATTTGGTACCAGCATTTTACTCTGTCTGCCTGTCTTTACCTTTGCGTACCATAGCTATTAAGTGTGGTCTCTATTTTACTCAATTTTCTTCAAAATTGAGTTATGTTAGAGGTAATTACAGCTACTTTAATTTTGAATAAGCCCAACTGCTGAGGTTTGAAATGCATTTTCATTAGTCTATGTTGAAGTGACTTTTTGTTTAGTCTAGAGTAACTTTCCACAATGTGCATCAGTACTTACCCTCATTAAGTACCAACGAGATTTTTGAGTTTTTGTGAGTTCTTCTGTTGAGTCTGTCTGTTTGGAAGGGAAATGGATGGTGGTAGGACCTTCTTGTTTCTGGGAGCAATGCCTTATCATGTAGGTTTGTTCTTAGTCTTCTTTTTCCCAAACTGCTGATTCTATTTGGCTAGTGTTTGAAATAGTGCTTTTAAGCTCATGGGCCAGGGCATTTGGTTTTGGCCAGCTCCCATTTCTCTAGGTAACATAGGTAGCAAAATAAATGCTTGAATGGAAGGACTTGCTGAATATCAAACCAAGGCTGTTCTTAGTTTTTGAAGTTGCTACACTGCTTCATCATTTTCTTATTTCACAGGTGTTTAAGATGGTCTGATGGAGGCTATTTGATTGTGTGGGCGGTATATTCTGTTGCACTATTCACTAGAATATTCACTGGTATTTGATTTTCTTAATTTGCCCTCATCTCCTGATATTTGGCCAGCCCCAGCACTAGACCAATAGAGAAGCAAGTGCTAAACAAACTTAGGGATGGACTGAGATGGACAGGAATTAGACAAGGTCTGCAGGCAGCTGAAATAGGTTTGTGGTGGGCTTAAAAGCAATCAAAAGCTATTAATGGAGTACTAAAATGAAAGCAAGAAGTAAAAGCTAGGATGTTGTGTCCTTTGCATGTTTCGGTAGTGTGTATGCAAGAGTCTGAGGAAGTGAGGCTTGGAATGGACAAAAAGAAAAGAAAGTGGAATAAACCAAGCTGAAGGAGTACCCAAGGATGCTATCATGGTGGGATGTCAGATACTCAAGTTATAACCTACAAATATGAGATCAAACATTGCTCACTGAGTAGAACATGTCTGCGTATCTCTGAGTGAGTAGCAGGTTTCACTGACCTCCCCCTTTCTTCTGCTCAGTGCAGTGTGAGAGAAAGTCTGGGATGTTAAGGATGACCACAGACAGTAATAAAGATTATGAGAATGTCATCTGGTTCTCCAGCTGCTCTGTAGTGCACGCCAACCTAATGCTAAGTTGGTGGTAGTCTTTAAACCTGAAAGGACTGGAAAGACAAATTGCCTGTGCAACAGGAGCACCTCTTGTTCTGCTTCCTAAAAGCAGAAGAAAGAGGAAAGGATGTGGCAGTTAGAAGTAGGGGAAGGATGTAGTTGGGAGAATGTGCTGCTGTTATTGGGATGGGTGGTTTGGAGAAAGACATTGGAGAATATTGCAAGAGGCATGGAGCGCCGCCGGGATCGTAAAATGGACTGGAGGGAGCAGGGCAGGAAGAGCTATTGGCTCAACCCACCTGGTGGAGAAGTGGAATTTCAGGTGGTGTTAGACACAGCAGGATGTTTGTGTGTGGTCTTGTCTTATGAATAGTGCTAATTTGGTGATGTATAACGGATGAGAGGAGTCTGCTTGGGTGAATTAGAAATGAGCAGTATCAAGAGACATTTCAAGCTATTTATATTTATACACAAGGTTGAAGAGCAGATGATTCTCTATCTTTGTGTTCTCCACATGACATTTGTATTGGGTTGTCAAAGTAAACCTGTAAGATCTTTGGTATTAGGCTGCGGTGATGTTAGGTGTAAATGATATAATTGCTTACCTCTGGCATTTGCCAAGGACTTTTGTAAGAAAGAAGGACAGACAAAGTGTTTTAAAGTAGCAGAGGACAGATGGAGAAGGCAGGTCGAAAGCAGAAGTAAAGCTGATTTGTAAATGAGATTTTTGCATAGCTGTGTGCAAGTCGGGAACGATCGATGTTGACTCTCTGAACAGAGGTGTAGATAGCCTAAAGCTTCACAGTTTAGCTGACTTGAAAGGACTTACCTGGTGTCCAACAATTTAGGAGCTGCAGGTATCCTTACTCAGTGGCAATATGTAGCCAGGACAATGCCTCTTATCCAGTAAGAAACAGGCCCATTGCTATTCTCTGCATTCAGAGGAATAGAATAATAAAAAAATCTAAAATAGAGTGTTTTAAAAAAAAAAAATTAAAAAAAAAAAAAAAGGAAACCTCAGCCATCTTATGTGTTATGCGAAATAGGCAGATGGGGTGAGTTGTGCTGCTGTCATTCTAAGATTGCAGTGAACAAGAATGGATATTTGCAATGAATTATTTGCTTCAGCTACAATGTGAAAGATGATAAACTTTCCATCATTAGATTTCCTAGGGAAATCAGAGCAACTAGTATTTCTTGAAATAAGTGTACAACCTGGTGTATAATCTTGCATCTGAACATGGATGCAATTGAGGAGTGAAGGCAGGCAAACATGCTTCTTGCTTCAGTGAGATTCCTTTGACATTTCTGCTATTCTTGTTGCTGAAGACTGTGTAATAGAGGTCCCTCTGCTACAAGCTCAGCTGTAATAGAAATGGCAGCTTTGTTCTGATGGTTGGTCACTGTCCCTGAACAGACAACACAGGTAATAAGCTACGAGTCTGACTTAATGAAGTTAATGTAGGACTTCCATTTTTTTCATGGGTATTGGTCCTGCGTTGCAGGATCATCTAGCTGTACTGCAAATCTCTATATGCTTTCTTGAAACAAAATTAGGAAACTATTTTTGCCCTCCCCCTTTCAAATGTGTCACAGTCCTAATGTCCATCAGAGCTATCGGCCTATCCATCATCTTCATGAATTTTAGCAAAATGTTTAGCTGAGCACTCGTAACCCTGTTGCAACACATGTGCTTTTCAGCTGAGGTGCAGGTCCTTGCAGAAGACGAGGCACCAGCTTGCTGTACCGCTGCAGCACAATCAGTTGTGATGGCTCTGTCATAGTACTGACATTAGGCAGGTCCTGTAGGTACATGTGCACATGCCATCGCTCTGTGCTAAAGAGATTTATGCTTGATTAGTACTTTTTTACTTTCATGCCCAAATGTTGACCTAGCTGATCTTCAGTGTCTGTATAAACATTGTCTTTTTAAGGTGAATTGCTTAGATCTGTGTTTGAGGAGCAAATGCCTGAATTCTCTGCCTTTCATAC